GGTGGCAGCGCGCAGAGGCTGCATACAACACGCCCCCCCTCCGCACACCGAAAAGGCGGCACATCAAACTTTGCACTTCAGAGATTTCCCCTCCGTCACCCCCATCGCCCCATTCCCGTCGGCTGACAGTTGCATGGTTTTTGTTTTTTTAAAATCACCACCATCACCCACTATTTTCTTTACTTGTGTTTGGGGCGGAGGGGCCGAGTGCGTGCGTGTGGCGGGGGTTGGGGGGCTGCAACTTGGCGGGTGCCCTGTGCAAAGCTGCAGTCACCGCTAAAGCATTGGATCCCTCAACGTACTGCGAGAGCCCGGTCTATAGCCCGGACCTGTGCCCCAACATGATCGCCGCCCAGGCCAAGCTGGTGTACCAGCTCAACAAATACTACACGGAGCGCTGCCAGGCCCGCAAGGCGGCCATCGCCAAGACCATCCGGGAGGTGTGCAAGGTGGTGTCGGACGTGCTGAAGGAGGTGGAGGTGCAGGAGCCCCGCTTCATCAGCTCGCTAAGCGAGATCGATGCCCGCTACGAGGGGCTGGAGGTGATCTCGCCCACCGAGTTCGAGGTGGTGCTCTACCTCAACCAGATGGGCGTCTTCAACTTCGTGGACGACGGCTCCCTGCCCGGCTGCGCGGTGCTCAAGCTGAGCGACGGCCGCAAGCGCAGCATGTCGCTCTGGGTGGAGTTCATCACCGCCTCGGGCTACCTGTCTGCCCGCAAGATCCGCTCCCGCTTCCAGACCCTAGTGGCCCAAGCCGTGGACAAGTGCAGCTACCGGGACGTGGTGAAGATGATCGCGGACACCAGCGAGGTGAAGCTCCGTATCCGGGAGCGCTACGTGGTGCAAATCACGCCCGCCTTCAAGTGCACCGGGATCTGGCCCCGCAGCGCTGCGCAGTGGCCCATGCCCCACATCCCCTGGCCCGGCCCCAACAGGGTGGCCGAGGTGAAGGCGGAAGGCTTCAACCTGCTCTCCAAGGAGTGCTACTCGCTGACCGGCAAGCAGAGCTCCGCCGAGAGCGACGCCTGGGTGCTGCAGTTCGGGGAGGCCGAGAATCGGTTGCTGATGGGCGGCTGCAGGAACAAGTGTCTATCGGTGCTGAAGACCCTCCGGGACAGGCACCTGGAGCTGCCCGGCCAGCCGCTCAACAACTACCACATGAAGACTCTGCTGCTGTACGAGTGCGAGAAACACCCCCGGGAGACCGACTGGGACGAGGCGTGCCTGGGGGACCGGCTGAACGGGATCCTTCTGCAGCTCATCTCCTGCCTGCAGTGCCGGCGCTGCCCCCACTACTTCCTGCCCAACCTAGACCTCTTTCAGGGCAAACCGCACTCAGCCCTGGAAAGCGCTGCCAAACAGACCTGGAGGCTAGCCAGGGAGATCCTCACTAATCCCAAAAGCCTGGACAAACTATAGGGTTAACAACACAGTGATAAACCCATTTACAAACTTTTATTTAAACAAAGCAGCTACAACAAAAGAGGCAGCGAAACAAACTTCCAAAACCCCACCTGCAGTTAAGCATTTAAAAACTCTCAGACATTTACAAAGCCAAAACGATCACCTCGTTGCACGAGAAGAGACTCCCCTTCCCCCTTTTTTCTTCCAATGTGAATTTTTTAAAAGTCACACAAAGAAGCGATCGGACTTTCCATCATCCAAACGAAACGCAAGGTACATTTTCAAATAAACGTATAGTCATTCTTTTCTTATTCTTTTTGTTTGCCTGAATGTTGTCACCAAGTGAAAAAATTATTTAACTATATGTAAAAAATTCTCTTTAAAAAAAGTTTTACTGATGTTAAATGTATTTCAGTGCCAAGGTCAGACTGTGCCCCATATTGAATTGTTGAAAACAGTAATAAAAATATTACTTTAACTTTACATTGACTTTTTTGTGAATTGTTCTTAAATTCAGGCAAGTAGAGAGATTTTTCTCGGCTTTCAGAGAAAAAAGGATTAAAACAAAAATAAATGGCAGACTAATCACAATATTGAACTGGTGCTTTATCTATAAATTCATCATCGTTTTCTAAAGTTTATTTCAATTCTTTTCAATTAAAATAGAAATAGACTGTACTTAATGAAAAAATAATTCCCATTCATTCTTTGGTTGTTTTGCTTTCTGTCACTTGAAACTTACTCTCTAAAAGTTTTAGGAATATATGCACCATCACATAGCATTTTGGCACAGTTTTGACAGAACTAGGGCGGAGTATTTCTATAATATAATCCTTAAAATATCTTTATTGTTTTTAATTTAGTTGGTGAAACATCACAATCCGTTCCTATTTTGTCCTGTAAAAATACATAGATATTTGCTTTATTAAACAAGGGTTATTCAACGATCAGTTTTACTTTGAAATGAAAAAAAGTATAAATCTTCTCTGAATAATAAACAAGCTTAAATGCAACTATTAAATTTTTTCTAACAAATATTTGTTTTCTCTGGTTTTTAAGTATAGCATAGAACTGCAACACAGCAGCACTGCGCACAGGGCATACACCGGAAAGGGGAAAACATGCTGTTTTAAAAGAAACCAACCAATTTTATGTTCAAACATCTCGATCCTTTATACTTGGGTTGTTTTTGTTTTTTCAAACGAATAATAGCTGATTTGCCCCTAATTTTCGGCTACAGTGTTTTGCTCCAAGTTTTCTAAGGAAGGTTTACATTTCTAAAACTTTACTGGGAGATTTTTTTACTATTAATTTTTATTATTTGCTTTAACGTCCCGAAATATTTTGAAGTTGGTTTGGAGCATTTCAAATTCCTTTTCATACCCTTTCAGGCCGATGCAAAATCTTGTTCCAAAGAACTACTTCCGCTTCTCTGTGGACGATCCGGAAAGAAATAGCCTTTAAAGTTTGAGTTGGTTTTGTTTTTATCTAAAAAGAATTTTAAAACAACTTAAAAGGTAACTATAAAGTAAAACTGAAACCACTTCGAAAACAATTGCCTAGTTTACGTCGTGATCACAGCGGAATACACATAATGACGCTATAAAATGCTTATATAAAATCGTCTTTAATTTCTACCTGCAAATTTACTCATGTATACTCTCATCAGCTCAAATTATGGAAAAGCAAAGGTTCTGGGATTGTAAAGTCTTAAAATGTTTCATTGGCTTTTTTTTTAATCCAACAGAAGCAGACAGCTTTTCTGAGCATTGAACCTGGCTCACCTGACAAAATGGGTTTAACTCAGTGCTTGTAGGACTACTGTGTCCTTGTACAAACAATCCTGGAGTAACAATATAAACTCTGATCTTATCACTACTGGTATTATCTCCACTGCAGGTTTTGCTTCAAAAACTTGTCACAATGTTTTCTTTCCCAGTAGGTCAGACAAATATACATGGAAGTTGAATGTATCAAACAGATAAAGACTCGTTAATTAAACAGGCATTCTAAAAAACTGCAGAATTGGGATTTTTAAGGGCATATTCTACAAAACTCTGGCTACAGATATCAACCTATAGTAATATGGGGTGGGGGCAGGGAAAATGTCAATGATTAAAGGAAAGTTAAATTGTATCTGTGTTTGTCTTTAAAACAAAAGCATTATAGGATTAGTATTTAGACCACTACACAATGGGAAATCAAGGAGCGTCTTTAAAAAACAAAACTGAATTCCACCCGCTAACTCCCCCTCCCTCCCCCACCCAAAAAACCCCAGGCTAACTCAAAACACCAACAGGCTGCCTTTCTTATAGGAATCCAAGTCTCCCTGTTACAGATTTAGAAGTACAATTGGTCTAGAGTGCCCATTCACACTTTGTGAGAACAACCACACATCCAGAGAGAAAGCAGATTAAACTAAGGGTAGTCCCTGTAAATGAAACAGGGTGCAGTGGTGAATGTTCCAAACTGTACTAAATGATCCTACATGCTAAACATGGAACAATGCAAAACAGTGGAGCCACATGATTTTCTTTTTTCACATACAAAGAAGGAATCAGTACATTTTTTGAATTAAGACTCTGAAGATGCTAGATGACATTGCAAGTACACTAACACGTTAATGCTAACTATGTGGTTTTGCATTTAATATTGATATCGTTTTTTTGCCAAACAAAAGAGTTTAAATTATTTTAAAAGATAATTACTCACCAAATAGGCAAAGATTTCAAAGGTTTACAAATTTCTTCATAATATTGTAAACTGTTTCAAAGATATTTTGGCACAACCAAAGGTCTGAAAAGTTAATTTACTGTACCCATATAAATTCATAGTTCCAGTTATCTGCACGCCACCCCACGTAAATGTTTTAATACATAGATATGGTAAAATCCATTAACTCTTTCCATATTTATAATACAATAAGAGCATGTGTGTAGTAAGAAGCCCACACATCTGTTACTATTTTTTAACATTATGAGGATCATTCAAATGCAATCTTTATAGTGCTAATTTCATACTGTGTGAGAAAGTTAAGCCCTCAAACTGATTTTTACTGCAAAGTGAATCCAATTTTAAACAAAAAATTGCTAATCAGGTAATTAACTCAGGTAACTCAAGTTTATTTATATTAACAAGGCTAGTCATAAATACATTTTAAAGGGGAAATAACATTTTCTTGATTATGATAAATACAATGCACTGTAAAATCTGCTATATAATAATGGAAAACAGAAGCACTGCAAAATAAAGAGGGCAGCGAACAGAGTATTATGTTATATTGGCATTACATTAAAAAAACAGGAAAGTAAAACAAAGGATTCAGCTAGCAGTTTTGTTGAACTTTCTAGTGTTCACACAGGCCTTGTGATCCAAGATGTCTTTATTTAGGATGCCTCCCTGGAGCTTTATTCCAACAAGCTAATTAACATCTGAGCTGGATTTGTCCCCTCCACTTAAATGAACTTTGCTAATGCACATAGTCACAAACTTAGAAACCAGGAATATTTGTGACCTATGGGGTAATGGAGGTTGGATGGAGAATTAATGGTCATGTAATTTGTCACCAGAGGGTGAAGGTCAACAATCTCTTACCTTGGGGTCGATTTTCTTAAAACTGGGATCTTCTTCATCTACCTCAAAGCAGAGTTCAGAAGAGGTGATGGAAAGAGTGCCCTTCACTATTACAGAGGGGGCCACAAGCTGTGCTGGTGTGCACAGGCTAACTGGACCTGCCAAACGAGCAAAACACCAATAATGAAAACATCCAAACAGATTACACAACCTTGCACAGAAACAAGCATAGGTTATTTGTTTTCTAACCTCAAAATACAAGGTAAAAAGCACCAGAAATCTTAGTTTAAAAAAGCAAACTGTTACTCCAGAAAGTACATGTCGCAGACTTGCGGCCTCTCGTCATTGCCAAACACTAAAGCAGCTACAGCTGCAATTGATGCATAAGCCAGATAATACACCTATCTGTCTTATGCAGATAATACACCTGCTGTATTATCTGTATAGATCTAGTTTTATTCTGACACATTTCAGTTTTGAAACCATAGCCATATACCTCCTGGTTTAAATAATACAGTAAGTGAAGACTTGAAATCTTAATTTCAAATGTGTGCAATAAGAACTTAATGGGTTTCAATAAAATTCTAAGAAGATGAACACAGCAGTCTGGGTTCAAAATTGTCTGACTTAACCTTGTAAATGTGCTCCCACCCATGAATGCTGGAAATCTATTGTTAAAATTAAATAGTAAATACTAGGAATTGTAAAGTACAATGTTTTTAACATGCTTTCCATTCCATTGTTAAATACTGTTCAAGGATTCCAGATAGTATTCGTGTAGCTTGGGGATTGTGGGAGTAAACAGCTGGAGGGTTGGTTTCCAACTGAATGAATTTTTACTGGAATAATCACATCTCCACAGGGCTTATCACAGAGACAAATCAGACTACTAGTAAAACAATAGGCTCGGCACAGATATGACAACACACAACCTATTATAGAAGAGAACACATACAAGGGGAAAACAGGTTAGATTTGTTATCCAATTGATTAAAAGAGAGGGAAATTAAGTTACTTTGTGGCAGCATTGTCATAAATCTTTGAAAAAAATTGAAAATATGAGAGTGACACGTACAATTTTGAATTAATAAAGTGTCTATAAATGAGGTACACACGTTCAGGTAATCAATGGGTGAATAACTGCCAAAAAACTCAGATGAATTGTCATTTCCATCGATTGTTAGGAGGATGATGGTCTTTAATTTCGCATCAATCTTAATGTGTGCCAGTAGGACAATAGCAGAGATGCTCTGCTGAGATCAGTGCAGCTTTGCCCTCTATTCCCAATGTACAAATACATTGTGTTTGCAGATGGGCATCAGATAGTTGCAGAACTGCCGTGATTTCCCAAAGCTCATCCCCACAAATGGTTGAAATAAGCAGCTATGTGTTCTTTTGCTGTCTCCCTTTGCCCTCTGTACATTAGCATGTAATCCAGAGGAGAAATAACATTTTTTCAATCACTCTCAGACATTCAATTACAGGGCGAGCAGACAGCTGCAGAAGCTGGGGCAACCCAGGTCCCGCAGAAGACCCCTGACAATTTCCACTTCATTTCTAACCCACACCACTTTATTAGTGAGGATTACTTCTTAATCCTATTGCCATTGTCAAGATTAAATAATTAAACTCCCCTTTCACCTCTATTACAGTATGAATGTATTACTAGAAGCAACCAATGCATAATAAAAGAGAAGGAAATGGGCAGAAGGCTGTTGAGGAGGAGGCCATCAATAGACAGGAACAGATTCCATTAAAAAAACTGCATTATGCTCCAATTACTTCTATTTTATATCACCGATTAGTATATGGCCTTAACATTAGGCTTTATTTTCAATGTTCTAAAAAATAAAAATGGCATGTAGTTCAGACAATTGGTAAATGAATTGCCAAATACAATTTCCAATTACTTCACATAGTATCGTCTTCCATTTTGATAACCTTATTTGCTTCCTAGTGAGTCAGAATTTAACTGGGGGACATTCTTCTGTAAATTTAATGGATGTGGATTATGAGCACACATAGAAATCCACATGTAAAGTGGAATGGTGCAAAGGTCTTCGAGTTTTCACGTAATCCTGGCTTACTCTTTTAAAAATGGAGCTAAATTAGAAGTTATAGTCCCTGAATATGGAGCTATTGTTTACCAGTTAAACATGACAGGTAAAAGAAGCAGGTTTATGCCATTTTGATTGGAAACTCTAACAAAGAGGCTTGCATCCAACACAGTAAAAGTAGTCAAGTTAGTGGGACTGACCATTTTCAGGGGGAAAAAAGACATCAGCTATGAAGATACTTTTGGGGGAAAGGGACTGAGGAGAAAGGTTGGAAGAGTTGAACTCTTAGTGCAGTAAACAGACTCTTCAACAAAAGAGAAGTGACTGATAGTTTTATTTTTGAGTCATAAAAATATATCTAAAGCCTCCAATTATAAATAATATAAAATTGCCCATTAGCCACAGTGTTTTGAGCACTTAGACTAGTCAGAAGTAGAAAAAGGGAGCTCTTGTTAATGAAAAAGTCTACTTTTCTACATATGCTTTCTTATGAAAATGCAAAAAGAAAAAAATCTCCCGGGGTGAAAACAATAGGGTTATAAAAGCCGCAGAAGGAAAATTCACTAGTGTGCTAAAGCTGAGTCTCAAACCCTGAGGTGCACAAAAAATTATCTTTCATTAACTCAATTATGGGAAAGAATCTATCACTGTCTATCCCAAAAGATTACTCACTGCAGAAAAGCATGAACATAGAGCTAAATGGGTAAGGAAACTGAGGAGCTGGGGAGCAAATAGACAGTTGAAGTTACCAATTAAGTTCTCCAAATCTTTCTCCTCAATGGATGACAAGGTATCATCGTCGCCTTCCAAGAGAATCTCACTCTCCGAGTTCTGATTTCCTAAAACCTGACTCTTGATGGACTGCTTTCCTTTAAGAAGCACGTCTTCGTCTGGAGCTGAAATGAAAGAGAAACATTGCTGTCTATCAGCTCTCAGAGGCAACGGTGATTGGAAAATAGCCTTTTGCAATGAAGATCAGAGAGGAGAAAACTGGTTGGGAGTAAGTATGCGAGGTAAGCTTTCGTTAAACCTCTAACATTAGGGGGACAAGTGGCTAGCAGAGCTAGTTTTAATTCTATTAAACCTGCCTTGAAATATACGGGGCTCTCTGCAGTATTGAGCTCTGTTTTAGTCCTCCCAAAATTGGGGATGAGATAACCACCAGACATTCCGCCAGAAGTTAAGATGATCTCTGCTGGAGATGGTTCTAGACTCCGCAGAGCAACTTGTCTTTAAATGCTACATGTTAAGCGCCGATTCAGGAAAGGCCAACAGGAAAGCGGCACAATTCCCTTGCCAATCACAGGGCCACGTCGAGCCATCAAATTTTTAAGAAAAATTCCCCACTGGAACCAATGGAGAGTCTCCGTTAAAAGCTCAGGGGCTCGATTTGACCCAGAGTGCCGCGGCGACAACAGCAACTCCTCGAGGGGCTGCTTCGGGAGCAGGTCGCAATTGTGAACTCGCGAGCCGCGATCCAGCCTGCTGCGCCCTGCGCGGCTGTTCCCAGGCCCCCCAGCGCTGCAGGCTGGAAGCGAGAGCAGCAGCAGCCGCCCGACAACTTCTCCGGCCAGTGAACTTAAAGCTTTGAATAAACGCAACAGGGAAAGTGCTGCGAGCCGACCAGGGTTGGCCTTGCTATCTCCACGCTGCAAAAAGCAGCAAGCGAAGAAAAGAAGCAGAGAAGAGAGGCAGCGGGAGACCTGGAGACAGGCCGGCAGGGGGAAGCTGAAGTAGGGACTGGCTTCAGTAGGCTCTTAAAGAGAGTGAGTGAGTGAGTGTGTGTGTGTGTGTCTGCTCACACTACACAACAGCAAATCTATTCTAGACAGTGACAACAGCAATACACGAGTTCATTTTACAGATACAAACTTGCTCAAGACAAAAGCCAATACACAGTTTACATCGTACGTTCGCCCTATCTTCCTGTTAAACGTAACCCGATTCAGCGCCTCCGTGATCTTGTATTCTTTACATAGGGGTGGATTGTTTGTTTATTTGCATTTCTTTACATCTCTCCTTTTCTCTTCCCCCAAAACCAACCACACACTTTTGCTAACCCGCCATGCATCTGATCTTCGCGTGTGCACAATGCTGGGGCCAGCAAGTCAATAAACTTTAGAAAACTCTCGGTGTTGCCAGAGGCTTTCAATACACGGTTACATCTGATGGCGTCCCAAGAAAGAATTAATGGAAATAATTTCTCTACACTTGGTATTAGCTTCCAAAACAGCTGCGACTTACTAACGTTTAAAATATTCAAATCTAACTAGTAACAGCAAGAGACACACGGCTATTCCAGAGATTCACTTCGAAGAGGTCACTGTGGTGGGGAGTTTATTTTAGATTTTCTTGCAAGCTAATCCTTGTGAATAGTATTCTTATAATTTAATATTTTATGACTAAACTCGAACTTAATATACTACATTTCAAATCGTTTGACAATTCACTGCAGAACTAGACGCCAGGTTCCTATATTTTCCATTAGTAATAGGATGAGTGGAAATAAGGAGTTGAAAAACTAAGTTATATGCGAATTTTACTAACTAGATACACACACCCAGCCTTACAGACATGGAGATGAGTGAGACGTTAATAAAAAATCACTTTTAGAATTCTACCGAAGTGTGCACCCACCTGCTTTCAAAAGGGGCTATAAAGAAAAGACAGGCAAATTCTGGAAGTCTAGAGGATGTTAATAGGTTCGTGCCTGGATTACTAAATATGCCAAATAAAAAACAAAAACGAAAACTCATCCTCATCTTTATCACCACCAACAGAAAGCATATTTCATGCTATACCTTCTAATTAAATATTTTATGTCATAGTTAAGCAAACATTAAATTAATGTGACAATACATGTAATTGTAACATGGCTTAAACAATTTTCTTTCCTCTCTCTATTTGGAATGGACAGAATATACACCAAGGAAATGCCAATTTTATGGGGAAAATATTTGCACTATTTTTATCTCTACACTACCATGATTAAATCTATTTATTTACATTTCAAGCTCAACGGAGGCAACAGATAGGAGGCAGTGGTTCATTATACATCAAAGGTATTGTGTGCTGTAGATACAGAGATACTACGTTTGCACCACAGCTCAAGGAAATAGTGGTGCAATCATACAATTGTTTTTGACTATGAAAATTCACATAATTGTATATAATCTTAAAAATAAATTATTAAATGAGAGAATACCTGGCCAAACTTCTTTTAAGGAACATATGCCTAACATCATGATCAACTTACTTCAGCACATTGCTCATTGCATTCTCTGATTACTGCCAGAGAGGATTTGAGGGTCCACTGGCTTATTTTAAAAAAACTTTAATCTGCAAACATTTACAGAAGAACGCAATCCCTAGTGGCAATATACCATGGCTTAAAGTGTTTAAGTAAATATATACACTTACATTGCAAATAATAAACTATCCAATTAAGTGAAAAGTAAAAAGCCCTACTTTATGTTTAGGCCTTCAGTTTAAAAAAATGGAAGTTTAATTTATAAATTATTTCTCTTTTGTATGACAATTTCTTCCAGACCAAATTGCTTTGCCACATTATGCATAGGATTTAGTTTACTTGGAAAATACTGAGTGTATTGCACCCGATGAAACAACATTTTGTATTAAAATATATCAGTTCATATAACTAAAGAAAACTCAGACTCTGGAATTGTTCAACCTGAGTTGAAAACAGTCCTGTCACAGAAAATATGCAGCTGATATTTAGAAAGGTTTTCCTGTAATTAACTCCCCCTGGAGGATTTTAAGTTAGCAGCAGTAAAATTACCAACAGTATTCTAATGCACACCACATGCACTTGCATTCAATTCTCAATGGCGTAATAGTACTCTGTTGACGATTTTATTTTTTAATTAGAAAAAAATCTCAAGTACAAAATAAAAGCAACATTTTTTAAATGCTGCTAAATTGTATCTGTTATTTTATAAACCATGTCTGGATTGTACTTTTTAAATCGCCATTCACAAGTAAATGTCAGATATTTTCACTCTCTTTGGCACATTCTGCCTTAATTACACTGAAGGTTTCATTTCAAACTAAAACTGTACCTGTTGTCCATTTAAGAGTTAATCTGAAATTCAAGATCTGTATGTACAACTTTTAGACACAAATCAGGTAATTTCTGGCCAAGTTACTAAAGTTTTCTCCACTCTTTCTCACTATCATTAGGAAAAATAAAGTAAACAAGGGACTTTCCATATAAAGGTGACTGGGGAATTATAAATGTAGATTGGATAAGTAGAAATTAACTCTTCCTTCCATCGTCTCTTTTCCAATCATTGGATTTAATTTTTCCACCTAAGCTAATTATCTTATAATTATTTAAAATATATCACTATGGATACTCCGAAAGAAAACTATTGAAGCAAATTGCATTAATTGAAGATTTGAGGCTATTGGTTGTTTTAGTCCTTGTGGGCATTTTAAAGTTTGTCATCTATCCTCACCCCTGTGTCTCTCTCTCTATACACACACACACACACACACACACACACACACAAATGCCTGTTGCTGGAAGGCAGAAAATCAGAATATAATAAAGCATCGTCTGTTAGCACCCTGCTAACCTGAACACAGGAATACACACACACACTCAATGTACACATAAGTGTGTGTATTTATGTAATTGTGCACAGATAAGATATATTGCACAGATGCAATCTATACACACAGCATTCTAGTTCTCTCTCTACAGGTATAAATCAGAGACTTGTGTGTGCAAGACAGAGCATGATACATATATATTCTGTCTATGCATACATGCGCGAATACACACACATGTCCATATGCGCGTGTATGTATGTATATATATATATATATGGGTGTGCATGCACGCACATTTGTGTATTCAGTTTAGTCAAATGCTAACAAATGACATTTCAAAGTATTATGATGGTCTACCTTCAGCAGCTAACATTCTCAATCATGCAAAAAAAAAGTGTATGGGGAGGAAGTGATCTCTAACAGTAAATCTTTTTAGAAGTATGAATGAAAAGCATTCCCCAAAATAAAAATTTAATAAGTTGTATCATGCTACATTTGATTTCATATTTAGGTCCCCAATCCTGCTTTGGTATCTGCTATTGCAAATCCCTGTAACCCCCTGGCAGTTCCCTGGCAGAATTTGAGCCTTAGGCCTGCAGATCTAAACACATACTTACATCTTTTCAGAATGAGGGCACCCCTGCAAGGTAGGAGGGTCCCAGAGGCTGTGCTGCAGCCCAAGCCTGGAAGTCTACACTGCAATGAAACAGCCCTGCAACCCAAGTCCCGGCAGCCTGAGTAAGCTGGCATGGGCCAGCCACAGCTTTTTCTTTGTAGTGTAGACATACCCCAAGAGGCATAGTCTCTATGTCTTGTACAGCAAACAACAGACCACTGGCATAATACTTATCTGGCACAGTAATTATTCCATTATTTAAAATCCATGTTCTTTCCTTCTCACCCTCCCTACTACGGCCCTGATCCTGCAAGGAGCTCTATGGAGGCAGATTTCTGAAGCAAGCAGAGAGCCTTACTGACTTCAATGAAGCAGAGCTCCTAAAAGGATAGGGGTCTAAAATCTTGATTTATCTTGTGTTGCTGGCCAAATTTTCATAAAACTAGGCTTGGGTTTTTTGGAGGTGGGTGCAACTATTTGTTTATCACTCATTTATATTCATGGTTTAAGGTTAGCAGCTACTTAATTTAAAAATCAGTTTGATAAACCATCAGAAAGTATTATACAGCAGATAATGTCAAGTTGTTGATTTCTGACAAATTGAAAAGAAAAAGAATTTTTAAAAGTTTAGTCTGGTATTACTCATTTAAACTAATTTCATTTAAAAAATAATAATTTAAAAACAATTTCCCCCTCTTTCACTACCACCACCACTTAGCTAAAGGGAAATATTGAAAACATAATGCTCTTTTGCACCATTTTATTTTTATGTTTTTGATTCTTTTTCACTGGAGCTTAGATAATGAAAATTGACTAGTCAGCTTTGTTTTAGTTCATGGTCAGTTTCTAGTCAATTTCACAACTATGGTGTGATAAACATTGCAGATTGTGCCAGTGTAAGTTAACAGTACTGCAGCAGTCTATTTTAATCCAAACAAAGTTGTTGTTTTTTTATTGACACACAAACAAATTTCATAAAAGTATTGTCCATCAATTAGATTGTCAGACTTCTTTAACAGATGATTTTTGGCTTAAATTAATTTATTTTAAAATGTTCATCTTTGCCTGATGCTGCCAATTTCCATAAAGCAAGTTCAATTTCTATGTCGGTTATTCTATTTTAAAATACTTAGGGTTCAATTTCGAAAGGAAGAACAAATTACATCCGCCTTCCCCCCCCCATGTGCGGGGACACAGTTCCAGACTGACTTTTATAAATAACCATTTTGGAGGTTCTTTCCCCCATCCTCCTTTGAAAAATTACCTGAAGCCCTTTTTCCCAAGCAAGTTAATGTGAACTTGGGAAGGGCAATTAAATTGTCAGAATTAAAAATTTGTTTTTAACTAGAAGGTAGCCAGAAGTATAGTCATGGGGCTGGTATTGATTGCCTGAACAGAGAACATTAGTCTTCAGGTATTTACTCTGCCACCTCTACACCAGAGGCTTTCCTTCAAATCAAATCAATCCGTGGAAAAGATGGGTTCTTGCTACGAAAACATATAATTAGGCTGCAACAGGGCTGATTTTTGTTGCTGTTGTTCTTTGTATGTTTACTGTACTCTGATTGCTTTTGGCTTTTTTTTGCCATTTCACAGTGTGAGCTTTCTTTGACTGTGAGCTCTCTGGGGCAGGGACTACACCTAGAACTACTGTAATGCAAACAACAGTAGATACAGCCTATCTTAACAGTGATAAGTTAGTTGGAAAATAAACTGCTTTTAAAAATGTGTTCAGTTCAACATTTTCTTTTTTCATTGTTTATAATTAAACATTTATCTTAATTTTCCTATCCATTAGCTAAATCCATATACACCTCTACCCCGATATAATGCTGTCCTCGGGAGCCAAAAAATCTTACCGCATTGAAGGTGAAACCGTGTTACATCGAACTTGCTTTGATCTGCCGGAGTGTGCAGCCCCGCCCCCCTAAAGCGCTGCTTTAACGTGTTATATCCGAATTCATGTTATATTGGGTCGCGTTGTATCGGGGTAGAGGTGTATTTGATTTCAGAGTAGGTTCATGATGTTAAAAAAAAGACTAAGGGGGGGGGGGATTCATTATACCAAAAGTTTATTTGCTTTAGAGAAGTGCATATTTAATTGATATAGAATGATTCATGACATATTATTAATGAGAAACTATAGAACATAAGGACAATTCCATTGAGAATTCTGGCATCATCCTAACTCATAAGAGCATAGCCTGAAAGTCTTATCAGAATCTCCAAGGGATGGAATTTTCTGCTTTGCTATTGTTTATTAATTATTATTATAATAATGAAAAGGTTTTGATGCCTGTATTTATAATGCTGTTTTCTTTCATTACTTCAGAAGTTTGTATTAATACTGATAGATGACTGGTTAGCCTCTTTCTAGCTAAATTATTACTAAGTTGACTCACCTATCTGGCATTTGTGTTTATGTTTATGCAATGAATATTTTAACTTAAAAAACTGAAAAAATTATGTAATAAATGAAAATGGCAATAAGTAATTATGGCATTAAATTAAAACTTCACAATTAAAACACCATCAAAAATTAAATGTAACAGAAGTTTGTCAAAGATTTTAAAAAATGTTAAACCGACGGAATAGCTGATGGAAAATTTAATCAGCTTTATTTTCATTAGCAAGCAATAATGTATTATGAAAAAGGGTTACTTGGATTTAGTTTACTTTTGTATTGAAAAGAGCCTCTCTCCTATGTGAATCCGCTAGCAGAAACAGACATTAAAAAATGGAGTTTGGTTATTGATAAATGTTACCCATCTCTCCAATTGGTGGAATTTTATTAGTCTGTGTTTAATTACATAGAAAACATTGTTTGTCTAAATAAAGATATGCTCTAAAGGATTAACAATGAAAATATAGATGTGTATGTATATATGTATTTTTATATATCTGAAACAACAGAATATAAAGATTGGAGAAAGATATTCATATTAAACCACAAGATTGTAAATATGAACTCAAAATGTATGACAAATCTATTTTATTGAAGCTGAACATGGTTTTAAAGGAAGCAGTTCTTTCTAATGTAAGATCATTAGCTAAAAGATACCTTATGCCCTTGAAACTCATGGTGTAGAATAAACACGCAAAATTAAAAACAAGCCTCAAAGCAGAAGTGGCCTAATTAATTCTACATCTTGTTTCTCCTTCTCCTATAGTCAAAGATGTAGGGCTCTGGGACCATTATTGCTTTTAGATCACTTTATTGACTATTCTCTGTATGGTCATTTATTTTAAAGGACTGATGTCACATTTGGCATTATATCTGCTGACATATTGTAGACATTTTCCTCCAGAAATGGCTCTTTAAGGCTGAGTGCAAGAGGTTAAGATGCTAGGCCGAGGCCAACCTTTAAGATGATGATGCTCTTCTGGAGCCATACAATAGTCTTAATGATTTAAAATTGGTATTAATTGAGAGCAAGAAACAACATATTCATACATTAGAAAACAAAAAGAACAAGGTTGCTAAATATTTTTAAAAAATAATTCTGGTTCATGAAAACATATACTTTTGAGGTTTACAGTATTCAGCTTTAATCATAACCAATTAATTTTAAATGTGGGGAATTTTTTCCCACTAATGAATCTTAATTAGCTCTCAACATCATAAAATGATAATTTAAGTACATGATCAAACTAAATACATTTTAAACCCAAAGGAACAATCAATGGCTCTGCTTATTTATTCCCTTTAGTTTATCAGGGCTTTCAAAACAGTTACAAAATTAAAATTTTAGAGATACACATTATAATGGAAATGGAAACATATGTAGAGCTTTCTCCAATAAAAAGATGCAAATATGAACATATGAAAACATTAAAATGCTATCTCCCCTCTCACTCACCAGGTACCTATGTTACCCCCTAGCAATCACTGCTTGGACTTTACCTTGCACTCTGGTATTTGTTAGCATCTCTCTCTGGCTGGATTCTCATGCTAAAATTTAGGAGATAGAAATACACAAGCATCTCTGGAAATCCATATTGCTTTATAACTGCTTTCCTTTTTTACACTACAGCTAACAAACAATTGGTTGGGATTTTCATAGGGAAATATTTACTATTCAACTTGAAGAAATATAAATAGGTAATTTACCACAAATAATACATCCAGGGATTAGTGGAAAAATTGTATCCACATTTGCTTCAAAGTAATGAGAACTGTGAGTACAAACATTATGTGTAAAACATTTGCACACACAGATTCTCTGAAGATATACTTAAGAAGAGGTTTAACAGATATTTACATTGTTTATGATGAATAGTGGTCAATTTATCTTTTTGTTAAACATGTTTGAAATTAAGTGACAAGCCTACGGAATGTGGAACAATGTCTTGTAGGAATGAAGGTCTAGTCTTCATTGCCATGTACTGTACCTGCTACTACTGGCAAGAAGCAGTTTTTACACTGACCATGTTCTACAGCTGCTTTTAGTGTCGCTTCAGGATGTGTCGATCCAAGGGGGTTTCGCACAAATCGTCGCCGGCGCCGCAAGTCATCTTCCCAGTAGTCAAGGCGCCAGAACTCACGAGGACGACTACAATGAAACACATTGCGTGAACCGAAGCTC